CACAATCCTCTTGATCTCAGTATTCCTGTAGCCTCACAACCCTCCCTGTCTCTTTCATTGCCCAGAAATAACTCGACAGAGGCCAGTATCATATCACCGAATTTTAGTCTGTGATATGGGCCAAACAGGTGACAAGTGTGACGAGTCGAGTTTGGGAAAGTTGGTTGGCATAGAAACGTTGCAACAAAGGGTCTATCGCAGTGTTTTTTTGACTCTCTAACGTATGTGATCATGTTTAAAAACTGGATGTGAACCAAACTTGCTGATATCTACGTGAGAACCTATTCTTCAGTATTAGGTCAACACGCTGTCACTGATCATGTGAATTTGTTCTCCCTCAAATATAAAAACAAACAAAAAAAAAATCCAAAAAATAAGAAAGGCTGAGTTTTACTGACACACAAAACAGTTTCAGGTTGCTAAAGAATATAAAAGTCCATGGTGTTAGGGGCAAGGTCTTGCCATGGATAAAGGATTGAATGACTGGCAGAAGGGAGTGGTCATCTTCAGGCTGGCAGTCAGTAACTATTGGATTTCTGCAGGGGTCAGTGTTGGTACCATAACTGTTCACAAAATACATTAACGATCTTGACAAAGGAACTGAGGGCGTTGTAGGTAGATTTTCAAATGACACAAGGTAGGTGGAGAGATAAGTAGTGTTGAGGAAGCAAGGAGCTGCAGAAGGACTTGGACAGGCTAGGAGAATGGACAGAGAAGTGGCAGACGGAATGTAATATGTACAACAGTGAGGTTGTGCACTTTTGTTGGAAGAAATGAGGCAAAGAATATTTCTCAAACAAGAAAGACTTCAGAAATTTGAACCATCACCACCACCACAATCACCACCACCACCATGAAAACTGCTCAAAGCTTTCGGAACATGTCCTATTGCCACTGCTGTCAACTCTTCAGCTTTGTTTTCTAATTGTTTTCATGAAAACAAATCTCCACCTTACAATATATGCAGCGGAGCAGAAAGAAATGGCTCAATCTGTGCCAACAACCATTGCTATTTCACTCGGATAGGAAATCCACACCTTCCTCTTTCAGGACAGTTCCCGAGGTCCGGACCCTTTGGCCGAGATCTTTCTCACCTTCCTGAATGTGTTTTGTTGCTATTCAACTTTTGGGAAACTGTCTGCAGACATTCCATGAGGTGAAAACCTTGAGATCGTATGACATCTTCCTGTAGAACATAAATTGAAATAACCAAAACCATCCCTCCTGTTGCATCTTTTCTTCCTCAGACATATTTCTGTGCGACATTTTGACAGGAAACCACATAACAGATGTCACAAACTTTTGATTGAAACATTCTGGAGGGCAGTGATAATTAATTCGATAGAAACACTTTTCAACAGAAATAAAGGCTGGAGATTGGTAATCTGGAAAAGATCTTAGAGAGTCAGTGCAGTCACGTTGTGCCGAATGGCCTTCATCTGTAAAGATGGTGGTGTAAATTGTTTCTTTTTATAGGATGGGTGATGATGTTGGATTGAGAGGTGAGCAGAGCACGCCCAGAGAAATTTGAAAGATAGATAATTAAAAGGTCGCTTCTGAATGTGAACACTTTGATGATATAACAGTCCCCAGGCACGTGTGTTGTGATTCTCACATTTAAAGGTTGTCTTCTCAGTGTGAACGCGTTGATGATAAGTCAGCCCCCAAGTAGGTGTATGGCACCTCCTGAAGTCTGGTCATTTAAAACATCTCTCCCTGCTGGAAAAAAGACCCTACGGCCCATCCTGTTAGCGCGGGTCATCAAACATTCATCTATTCTAACCCCAGTTTCCAGCACTTGGCCGGTACCCTTGTATGTTCTGACGTTTCAAATGCTCATCTCAATTAGGTTTTCACCATAATCTCAAATGGCACAACGAATGGGTTTGAGATGGTAAAACTGTGTTCACACCTTTTGGGGAACTGATGCTCATTTTCACCCACAGAGAGGGACACATTCACACATTCCTCGAGTGTAACACAGGTTTCAGGATTATAGCCAGTCCATGTGCTTCACATCAGCTCCCTGTCCCCAAAAATAAGTTTCTCCGGCAAAAGACAGCTTTAACTGGGACACAAACGATTTCTCCAGGCAACAAGAACCGTTCCTATGAGCTGGGATATGAAATAGACAATCAGCTGAAATAGTCCCGCCAGCTGTTCATGTGCAACTTTAAATTTCCAAAACCCACCAACCCAATCACTGTGGGTCCTGGGAATAGAACATAGAACCTAGAATGAACATAGAACAGAGAATGTGACAGGACAGCGAACGGCAGACATTTTTCATTAAAAACAACTGACACAGGGTAAAATGTAAATACTTTTCATGTCTCATCTCTTTCTGCTTCTGTTCCTGTCTCGCCTTGAGCTCCCTCTGACTGTCCAGATCCCAGCTCAATGAGCTGCTTGATACAAACACATGCAGATCCTGAAGCCAATTGTTACCAGGAAAGCAGAGCAAAGAATGTAAGACACCAGGTACTGAGAAGTGATGGGTTTGTGCAAGGTTTGGTAAGGAGACGCCAGGATCTCATCTTCCTGATTCCTCCAGATACTGATTCAGGAATGACAACAGTGCCAGTTATCCCCAGTCACAGCTACAATGGAAAACGTGTCTGACAGACAAATCACAGGAGTGTCAATTCCACTGCTTCCTGGCTCAGGTGGATTTTACAAACATTTTCCTGTCACTTCACAAATTGAACTGACCACAGCTGGTCATAGAGATCTTGCAGCACTGGAAAAGTCTATTCAGCTCAGCAAGTCTACATTGGTCAGCAAAAATCCCCAACTGTTCTCGTCTCATTCCCTGTCACTTGACACGTTAGCATCGTAGATGTACACCTAAATGTTTCTTAGCTGTCACACAGGTTTCTGCGTGTTCCATCCTGACAGGCAGTGAGTTTTCCCACCATTCACGTTCTGGGGAAAATTATTCCCCACCTCTGAGCAAATTCTGTTCCTATCTGCCCTCAGCTCTCTAATATGCTCGATAGGGTTCTAAACCGCATTGCTTGTTTGCTTTTCCCAATTTATCGTTGCTTGGTTTGTTCGAATCAAATCACTTCACAGATTTCTAAAGTGTTCAATGTCAGTAATGGTGGGTCTGGTTGTTTATCATGGTAGTTGAAATGAATATGCATTTAAAAAAAAACAACAGAAATTTCTGAAGAAACTCACTAGGTCTGGAGAGAGAAAACAGGGTTTTGAAAAAGTTGACTGCTTATGTCTCAAAATGCTACAAGATCTGCTTAATTTGTCCAGCAAATTTTCTGTTTTTGTTTCAGATTTCTGCATCCAGGGTTTTAACAATTTGAAACACTATTGCAGTTTATCACTGAATTAGAACTCTGTTTGAAGAATATCTTCCTGACTCTATCAGCAACCATGAACTGTGCGGCAAAGGGAGCTGATGGAGTGAAAACACCGGCCCTGGATGGTCTCGAGCCATCATCCTTTCTGCTTAACAGCTGAATACGCTGACTAATTGCGCCACAGAGACTGGTGGTGCAGTAGTTTGCACAACCCCCTAGAGCAGACTATCTGTGAGTTCATGCTTCAGATTGCTGCTCCCGGAATGACAACAAGAATTCTTTCAATGTCTCAGATCAGTTAATTTTGTCGAGAACATCAGAGGCAATGTCCCTGCTTCTTAAAAAAGGGGGAAAGTTGCCTGACTACCTCTGCTCAGTCGGATAGTTCACCCTTCATTCTCTTCTGATCTCGCTCTTCAAAGAGTTTTGAAAGTTTCACAAAGCTGGATAGTGGACTCTCCATTTTGTTTCCTTCACATTTTACCACTTGTCCATGGCAATGTTTTCCTAAAATCTCTCCAAAATTCTCTACCTTTCAGCATGACCAAAAATGAGGAAATTAGACTTTGTGGAGAGATTCCTGAGGCAGGGAATGTTCTCTTTGGACGAAAGATGGTTAACCAGAGATTTGCTGGGGTGTTTTGTAATGATAGGGGAGGCAGCGGAGGGAATGGGCGGGTTGATAGAGCAGATCTGGAGAAATTGCTTGTCCTGATCAGGGGCAGTGATCAAGGGATTGAGATTTCAGGCATTTATCAAAAGACAGGCTTGCGTTGAAATAGCTTTGCTTCCCTGGTAGGTTTCCCCTGAGATGGAAATGAACAGACATCAGAAACCGGGGGTGAGTGGGGTTTTGGAAACAGATTTTGTTGGCTTTCAGCGATAACTAATTCGTCAGGAACTCATTCAAAACAGAAAAACACCAAACTGGCGTCAACAGGATTCAAATGTTTGTGAGAAAATCCCAATGGATTTCCAAACCATCATCTTAAGCACTCAGCCACGACTAGAGCACTGAGCCTTAGTTTCACATTTCTAGGATAAATTTCTCAAATGGTCCCAGCAGTAAAGGTGGACATGGTTCACCCTGATCAATCACCCTCAATTGCTCTCTCTCTCTGTTGTGGGTTTCCTTCTGCATTTTTCAACACAGTTCAGTTTCCCCACGGTATAAGCATATTTTTAACTTTGAAAACGTTTCTCATTAGATATGCAGTATCATACTGAGAATATTACTCATAGGAGCAGAAGTAGGCCATTCAGCTCATCAAATCCGCTATACCATCCAATTAGATCCCAGCTGATCTGATCATCTACAAATCTACCTTCTTGCCTTTCCCCATGACACTTAATTCCTTTACTGATTAAAAGTCTGAGTACCTCAGCCTTGACCTTAATAAATGATCCGATCTAGACAACTCTCTGCGGTAAATAATTCCAAAGATTAATTTATGTCTGAGACAAGAAATTCCTCCTGATCACTGTCTCAAATGTGTGAACATTTGTTCTGACATTATGCTCTCGATTTTCCCACAGGGACAACAACCTTTCCACATCTACTCTGTCAAGTCCCTTAAGAATCCTGATGAGGAGTCAGTGGGCTCTAAGCATTAACTCTGCTTTCTTCACTTAGATGCTTCCAGACCTCTCGAATTTCTGTATCAATTTTTGTTTTCGTTTCAGATCTCCAGCATCCACACTTTTGGATGGTTGTGTGATGGACCGTCTTCAGGATTTATAGCAATGTTGGCAAGGTGACGGCAGCAGAGCCAGGGACGCCTGGGACATTGGCTGGACATGGAAGGGGAACTCATTGCGAGCCAGTGATCAAACATCAGTAAAGTAATTCTTAAGAACACCCTGAACTATGCTTGAGAAGAAGGTTTGTAAAGTTGAACGTTGTTTCTTATTTTTCTGCCTTAATAGTTTACTGTCAATTGAACAGAAGATGGAACTCTATTTAAGTAATCTCTTTCTATTAACCTATCATCTATTCACTCTGTTTACCTAAATACATGTGACAACAAAAATCATTTATCCTTTGTTTTAGTTTATCCCAAACAACCTGGTACGCTTCAGTAAGCGGCAATTTTATTTTTTGTAGTCCTATGGCTGATCAATTCCTGCTTCTGTTGCAGGACTGCATTTCAATTTACATCGAAAAATCTGTCCATTTTGCGAAAGAGCCACGTTTTTGCAGTAGCGGGTCCAAGCAGTGTCAGATAGAAGACGTGGACCTTCCTTGTTGTTTGTTCCCAGCTGTACTTGATAATTTCATTAGTTGTGTGAAGCTGTTCGGACTTTGCTGTTGTTAATGTCAGGTATTCCTGGTCAGCTTAGAATGCCTACAGTGTGGAAGCAGACCTTTTGGCTCATCGAGTCCACACTGACCCTCCGAAGAGCACCCCACCCAAAGTCACTCTCCTCCCCAATCCCATTCCTGTAAACCTGCATACTCCCCTGTTTAAGCCACATAACCAACACATTTCTTTTTGGATGGTAGGAGTAAACGCCCACAGGCACTGTGGAATATGCAAACTCCATGCAGACAGTCGCCCGAGGCTGGAATTGAACCTGGGTCTCTGGTAATGTGAGGCAGCAGTGCTAACCAGTGAGGCACGGTGTATTTGAGCAAGGTGACTACATCCTGATTTTTTGACTGGGAATCGAACCCGGGATACAGCAGTAAGGCACAAAATCCTAACCACTAGGCCACCAGGGAAGATACAGGAAACACTTGTCACTGCGAGTTCACACTGGGGAGAGACTGTTCCTCTGGCAGCATCTGTGAAAAGAGAAAGAAGGTTTACATTGAGTCTGACAACACTCTTCTTTAGAACTGGAGCACCAGGTTGTGGCCAATTCATAGTGTTCATTAATTCATCTGACCTTCTGATACACCAGCGAAGTCACACTGGCGTGAGATTGTTCACCTGCTCTGATTGTGGGAAGGGATTTACTCAGTCACCTATCCTGCTGACACATCGGTGAGTTCAGTCCGAGGAGAAGCATTCACTTGCTCTGAGCATGGGAACGGATTCACACTGTTACCCCATTTTCTGAGTCACCAGCGAGTTCACAAACGACTCCAGTAACTGTTATTTTCTGCTCATTGCATCGAAGACTGAGCCATGTTGATTAAGATCTCCTGCTGGTATAAATAAACTTCAACCCAAATAAACTGCCCAATATTCTGATTATATTCGAATAAACCAGCTTTGCTTTGAATGAAGTGCTTTACTCTTTTTGTTCTATCTAACATGCAAGTTCATCCTTTTGAAGAGCTCTCCCTCTTCTCTTTCTCTGCCATCCCCATTTCCACGAGTACAAGGAGCACATGCTTGTCACTAAAATTGTGACAATCTAATTAGCTGCCTCTGCTACTTCCTTTCCGTGTCACTCACTCACCATGTTATACTGTCCCTGAAGTTCCTCCTTGCCTGAACCTCAAACTTAGATCTTTCATCAGTGTCTCTCTGATCTCTCCTCAAAGACTTTGAACTCATTTTGCCCATGAGCACCAACTTCTATGAGTTTAAAATTATTCTGTATGAATTTCTAAGTTTCCACATCCTATAACGGGTACTGTCTTCAGGCCCTGTCCCTCTTTTCTTTAAATCTGCCATTACTCCAGACTCAAAGTAAGAAACCTTTAACCCCTACTTGCAAATGACTAACCACATCTCCAAGGTTTCTTTCTTTTCTTAAAAGCAATGTATTTCTAAAATCTGTGTCCATCTTTTCCAGAACTCCATGCATGTATCTCTCCAATCAATTTCTGACCCTGTCACGGTGCACAAACAGCTTCTATCAACATTATAAATTACATCCTTTGCGACTGTGTCAAAGATAAACCAGCATATCCCATCTTCCTCAGCCTATTGTAGCCTTTAACAAAATTGGCCACAACCTGGCGCTCCAGTTCTGAGGAACAGTGTTGTCGGACTCAATGGAAACCCTCTTTCTCTTTTCACAGATGCTACCAGGCCTGCTGAGTTTCTCCAACATTCTCTGTGTTTGTTTCAAATATCCACAATTGACAGTAATTTTTTGGCATTGTTCCAACACCTCTCTACCATCATCGAGCTGAGTGGGGCTACTCTGTCCTGGTCTGGTTCGTCTCTATCTGATCACAGCACTGGAAATGCTTTACACTCCCACTCACGCAGTTCTCTCTGATGCCCCCAGACGATCCAGCTTTGGTCTCCACTATTTCTCATCAATCTGCTGCCAATAATGACAGCATCTAGAAATACCGAGTCAGTTGTTAGATATTCACTAACAACTCCTATCACGACCTTAGCACCATTTGAAAAGTCAGTATCAGCATACCATGAAAAGTTCGAGCAGATTATTCTGTGGACTACTCTTTCTCCTTTCATCTCCCTAAATCTATAAATCCTTCTCCCAAATGCACCTCTTCCTCCCTGCTCGTTGTTCCAAATCCTGGGCTTGGGCTCGTACTAATTCTTTTCTTCTCTCCCGATTCTCTTTCTTGTTTTCCTTAAAGTTGTGACTTGAGATGTGGTTCAATGCTTCATTCAAATTCACCAAATAACAGCTCACAGTCGCACCTCATCGTTAATGACTTAATTATTGATTTTAAATATTTGCAAAGAAACTTTTATTCATGATTGTGGAGAGGAGCAAGTCCAGTGGTAAGCTCAAAGTTTCCTTCTTGCCAGGGCCGTTCGAACAAGCGTTGCCTATGAATTATATTGATACAGCCCCATTCAATTCCTTTGGATCCCCGACTGAACTACAGTAATAACTGGAACAACAGCTCAAAGACTAAAGTTTTAACGTAACAAAATGCCTCAAGCAGTTTCACAGGAATATAAGCCCATATTAAATCATATCGAAACATAGCCTCTTACAGCATGGAAACAGACGGACCAAGTTTCCCAAAGTAAATTGGTCCCACTTGCCTGTGTTTGCCACATAGCCTTCTGAACCTTTCGCATTCATGTGCCTATCCAAATGTCTTTTAGATACTGTAACTGTACCTGCATGTACCACGGCTTCTAACAGTTCATTTCACACACGACCTCAACTGTGTTTGGAAAAGTTTCCCCTCAGGTCCCTTTTAAATATTTCTCCTCTCATGTTAAAACTATGTCCCCTAGTTTTGAACATATCCGCCTTATGGATAAGACCTTTGTTATTCACCTTATCCATGCCCATCTTCATTTTACAAATCTCGATAAGGCCACCCCCGAATCTCCTATGCTCAAATGAAAAAAAGGTCCTTGCCTATCCAGCCTATCATTCTCACACAAACTCTCCAGTCCTGACAACATACTGGTAATGGTTTTTTGAGCCCTCGCCTATTTAGTTATGTCCTTCCTGCAGCAGGGTAACCAGAACTGCACACAAAGCTTCAAAAATGACCTCAACAACGTCCTGTACAACCGAAACATTTTGTCACGACTCCTATACTGAATGGTCTGAGCAATGATGACAAGCGTGCTAAACACTTTCGTAAACACTCTGTTCACCCGCGATGCAACTTTTAAAGAACTATGTACCTCAACTCCTTGATCTCTTTGCTTGACAACACTACGCAAATCACTACATTAACTGAATAAAGTCCTTGCTAGTTTGGTTTACCAAAACTCAATACCTGGCATTTATCCAAATTAAATTCCTTATGCCACTCCTCAGCCCATTGACCAGATTGATCCAGATCCGTTTGGAATCTTAGACAAACTTCGTACCTGTTGACGATACCACCAGTTTTGGTATATCAGCAAACTTACTCACCCTGAGTCATAAGTTCTCATCGAAATCTTTAGATAAATTATAAATAAGAGTGGATCAATACTAATTCCTGCGGAACACTACTGGTCATAGGCCTCCAGTCTGAAAACAACCCTCGACCACCAACCTGTCTCCTACTGTCAAGCTAATTTTGTATCAAATTGGCAAGCTCTCCTCGAATCCCATGTAATACACATTTATTAATTAGTCTACCATGCCAAACCTTGTCAAAGGCTTTGCTAATATCCACGTCAACAACGTCTACCTCTGTGCCATCATTGATCTTTTTGGTTACGACTTCAAAAACAGCCTTTAAGCTTTTTAAAAGACTTTCAACACTCTCTCTTTTGCAATATGGACTGTATTGAAGACATCAATGTTTATTTCCCTGAGTTCCCTCACCTCAATTTCTTTTTTTGCAGTATAAACCGACACGAAATATTCATTTAGCATCTCTTCCATCTCCTGTGGTTCCACACATAGACGACCTCGCTGATCCTTGACAAGCCTTATTTTCTGTCAAATTACTGCTTTGCTCTGAATGTACTTGTATAATCTCTTTGGAGAGTCCTTAACATTATCTACCAAGGCGATCTCATATCCCCTTTTTGCCCACATGGTTTCCTTCTGAAGAATGTGCCTACACCTCTTAAACTCTTCAAGAGATTCACTTGTTCTCAGTTGCTTCTACCTAATTTATGACTCCTCCTTATCCTTAACCAGTGTCTTAATATCTCTATTCCTCCATTGTTCCCTGTATTTAACAGCCTTACCTTCACTCTAACAGGAACATAATGCCACTGAACTCTCATTATCTCACTTTTGAAAGCTTCCCAGTTGTCAGCTGTCCCTTTACCTATGAACAATCTATTCCAATCAACTCTTTAAAGTTATGGTCTCAGACAATCAAAATTTACCTATTCCATTTAAGAACTTTAAAATTCATACAAGGCCTATCCCTTCCATAAGTATTTTAATACTAATCGAGTTATGATCACTGGCTGCAAAGTGCTCAACTACTCCCACTTCAGCCACTTGTCCAGCCTTATATCACAAGAGAAGGTCAAGTTTTGCTCCTTTTCCAGGAATTACATCTACATATTAATTAAGATGAATTTTTCGAACACTGGTCACTAATTCCTCACCAACAAAACCCTCAGCAATATGGCTGTCCCACTCTATGTTAGGAAAGTTAAAATTCCCTACTAATACAACTTTAATATTCTTGCATATAAATGAGACCTTTCTACATATTTGACCCTCAATTTCTATCTGACTACTGGGGACACTATTAAAATCACATCAAGGTGATCATTCCCGTATTATTTCTGAGTTCCATCCACATAGCTTCACTGGATCATCCCTCAGAAATTTCCTCGCTAAGTATAGCAGTAATACATGAAAAATCTGACTCCAAGGCCCCTCCAGCTCTGCCTACTTCTCCCTCACCTTTGACGGTGTGAATTGCTCTTAAAGGCCTTTGCACTTAAATTATTCAGTTGGAAATGTGGATAATTTACTGACGATTGTTAATGTCTGAAAACAAAAAAATACCGTGGATGATTTGGTGATGGGAAATCAAAAAAAGTTACGCCGTGTGTAAGGACACTTCTGGATATAAAAGACAACAAAAGAAAAACTAAGTCCATTCTGTCTGCTCAGGTCTTGCCTGGGCTGTTGTACCTTCATCCTATTTTCTGTTTGTTTTTTGATTAATTCAAATTCATCTCACCTGCTATTTCATACTTGTCAACGGCTGTTTGCCTTTTCAGAATGTATGTTGCCCTATCGTGAACATTCTCAGAGTCCAGTGTTTGAAATCCTTCTTGTGCCATGACCTATAAAGCACAATTGCAGAAAAAAATTAATAACAATTTCAGGTAAAATGTTGGGATATTAAGAAAACAGCATGGAACTTCAAAAATTTTACAGAGAGTTTGTGGGAATTGGCATCAAGTGGAAATCAGCAGTATTTCCAGTTATTCTGATCTCTGCCTTCTGTGGTCGACATCGGCCTCTGATGCATAATTTTTGAGGGTTGTTATGTGTTGATATTCTTAAGTCAGGTATATCTCAGTCCCATGGAGGTTTGACGTGTTTCTTTCTTTTGTAATGAACACAGAAGAACATGGAATTGTAAATGTGCAAAACCAAAGGTGAGCAGGAGCAAAGGATCCTCAGTGTATATGTGCACAAATCAGGGAATGTAACATGACATGTCGATAGAAGTGTAAAAAGAAATCTTTCGTCATAAATACCACTGTCGAGAAAAAAGACAAGGAAATTATGTTAAACTGAAATAAAACAGTCTCTTGTGTCACTTGGAAATTTGTGTCCGGTTTCAGATGTCACATCTTTGAAAGAATGCAAAATCATGAGAGAGGGTGCATGACTGATTCACAACACTGTTCCCGGGATGATGCAACTCACTGACCTTGAGAAGTTGGGGCTATTGTCCTTTACGGAACAGTAACTTTCAATTTGGTCGAGCTCCTTAAACTCCTGATGGATTTTATCAGAGTCGGATAGGGAGAAACTGCTTCCACTGAAGAAGGATTGAGAACATTCAGGTGCTGGTCAAATATAATTGACAAACGAAACAACACAAAATAAATAAAGTGAAACGTATTTTAATGCAGCGAGTATTTCAGATAATTAATGTTTCTGTGAATTGTGCAGTGGACTCGGGATTATTTGTTGCATTCAAAAGTGTATTAGCATTTAGCCTGGTTTGATGCTTTGAAAGAGCAGTTGTCATTGATCAGCAATGACGTCAGTTGTCTGTGAAACAGTAACCATAAAAGTCTGTCCTAACATCTCCCACATTCAGCAGCTCTCCACATTTTCTATAGTTAGTTTATATTTAATGTTTTGCGCGCTATCAGTGCCTTTACCATTCACACTTCCACTCTTTCAATCTGCCTGAGTATTTGTTTGAGATATTTTGCACTTTTAACAATTCCAGTTGCGATGAAAATGTACGACAATAGTTCCAATAGTTTGGGAGAGTCTCTATGTGTACCCAATTTTATTCAGTGGGCAATTCATAAAAATTTTGAGAATTCGCATGTGTGTAATTTTTATATGTATTTAAGTTGATCATTGATCTCTTGTTGAGGAATAACATTCACGTTCAAGGTTTAAATGGTAAGTTGAGATAAATGGGAAAGCTTGTTTTTAACAAGTTCTTATCATGCCTCAAATAATTGCCAACCATTGAGTGCTCCAGTGTGACAAAGGTATCAGATTTGGTCCAGGCAAATCTTAATTGATGCATGATGTGAAATGTCTGCAGCAGTTTTCATCAGGGTTTCGTGTTACATACGTGGCTCCCAGAATAAATAAACTCTAGCAAGCAGAGAAGGCTGCAGCGTCTCTGGAACAGACAGATTCTGGACTCTGCGAACAGTTCTTATTAAAGTCGTTGAATTTGTCTTGTGCCACACCAGTTCCAATGGCTGAATATTTCCAGCATGTCTAATCTCTGCGTTGCCTGATCAGCATCACCTCTGATTGGTAATTTTGAGGGTTAATGATGTCCCTGTGTCAGATAGACCATAGTTTCATTCCCTGGGATTTGGGCAGTTGTGGTGTGTCAAATAGATCCAGGATTTGTGCTCCATGAGAGTTATGCGTGATAAAAACTCCAGTTCCACGAATCAGCCCTTGGCGTCCACGTGTTGTTTTTATTCATTCACAAGATGAGGGCGTCGCTGGCCAGGTTGCATTTATTGCCCGTCCCTAATTCTCCAAAGGGCAGATAAGAGTCAACGATATTGCTGTTGGTCTGAGGTCACATGTAGGCCAGGCCAGATGTCTCCATTCCAAACTGAACGTTGACATTTTTGGCTGATGAATGTTTCATTGGCCATTTTAGATGGAAATTTGTCCATTAGGAACCCAAGCTCTACTGATGTTGGCAGTATTTTTGCTTTAGACAGAGTATAATAAGCTTTCTAACTCCATTGCTTGCCTTTAATAAGCTTCTGGGGAAGCAACGCTGTTGATTTTCATAATTACTTGACCCGAGGCCGTGACCCTTTGTGCATAAGAGGAAACATCAAGGGCCTCCTTGCGCTCTAATGATTCTGCCCCTGGAGTATTCCATAAGACATACCAAATGAAAGTTGGATTTACGTTAGTTGGCCATAAGGTAGTGATGCATTAACCTACATAACTGCATGAAACACAATCAGACATAAGCGAAAGCATCTGGCTGGGAATGGAGTTCGGCATGTAAATTTGGGAAGATGTATCATTACCAATGGCCCTTGAAAAAAGAAATAAGCAAATTGAAGGTTCGTACATATTCATTCAAGGTTTATTTACCATTTCAGACAACACTTCTATTGAAAGGTTTATGTTAAAATTAGCAAAAGTGAACATAATGACTGGATGCCACAATGAGAGAAGAACACAAGCTCTCTGAGCTGTGAATTTTAGGTACATTTATAATAGTCACCAGAAAGAGAAAATACGTGCTCGAAATAAAGGATAATAAAAAGTTCTGAATGAAGGACAACAACAAAAACAATATATAAATGAACTTGAAACAATTAGGAAGCCAAAAATTATTGCAATCGTAATTATCTCATTGATATCAAACAAAGTAAAATGGAAAAGCCAGCAATTATTGTCTCAGTTACACATTCATAAACTGAATTTATCTTCTGTCGAAAACAGGACTGATTGTATATTTGGAATCCAGTGGCCTCGAGAAACAGATCAGGAAAGTCTAAAATTCATTCACTTAGCCTGAAAAAGAGTGATAAGGCAACAGTTTAGAAGTTTATGATCAGGGCATTCAGGTTTAAATTTTTATTCAATGGCGCACTTCGAGATTTCACAAGCCACAATGGTCTGTTTGAAGTCCGAATGATTTGATTGTTCTCACCTTCACCAGCGTGACGGCAGCGCTGCAGAAAATGCTCAGGAAGAACAGGGTGATGAATGTGGAAGCAGTGGTCCAGATGTTGCCGTTATCATCTTCATAGTCTTCAATCCAAGTGTGATCTATGGAATCTATGAATATAAAACCGAGAGTACGTATTGAGGTTATTTATTGACCCAGTCTAATATTTCTTTATCTAAATAATGTAATTCTGAACCGTTACATCTTCTTCAAGCCATGAGGTTTTTCTCAAATTTGACTCTTGGTCGCTATTATTGTGTTAGTTACTCTCAGCAATACCTTGTTAATACTAACTGCACATGTTCTTCCTTTATTATCCGTGTCTGAACATTTTGACGTATTTCATCATTTAATCTGTTATTGGAGAATATAATCATTGTTATCATTCCAGGTATACTCATTGGGAACTATTATATTCATTATATCATTATATTTTCAATATGACTGTGGCAACTGTTTAGTTGAAAGTTGTGGTCATCACTGGATAAGAGATCAAATGTGATTACTCATCTTCTGCATTTATTTGTGACCAATTGCTTTGCAAATCATGAGCAGAAATTAGATCCACAGTAAGAACATTGCTTTATATTTTTGTTTATAGGATCTGTGTGTGTTAGGAATAACTTTTTGTGCATGTGTCCCTTCGTTTATTTCTGTCCATAGCTTGGTGTTTATGTTTTTCCTTTAGTGTTTGGGTACTTGGTTATGAGCGTCTCTTACTTCATGCGTGCCCATGTTGGAGATTGTACATGAATAAACACATTGATGTTGCTTTGTTGCCGGTATGTTCATTCATATGGTTCTGCTTTTGTCTGTAAATTTTGCGCATTTCAGAATATGTAAGCGTCATTATGTTAAAATGCCACTTCATTTGTTCATGCCTATCTTTATCTATTAACTTTTTTGTGCTTTTTTTTCCGTTAGTGCTATCTAAAATATGTGTTTATGTGTCGATTTCAGATCCCCCCAGCCTTAGGTTATTTTCATGTTTGTGCTCCATAATTGAGTTATGTCAGTATGCAACTTCATGTTTTGATGGGTGTTTATACTTATGTAATAATATCTGCTTGCATGTCAATGTATCCTAAACTATCTCCTGATATGATTTCTTGTATTATTGCACTTGGATTTTTACTGACGCGTGTGTCATTCCCTTTTTTTTGCAAATGCCCCACTGTTTGTTGATCTATGCAATTGCATGTCTGCGTGTGAGACTCATAAAATGTGTATATGCCTGACAGTGTTTATATGCCAATCATGTATTTTAAAAATAAATAATTAAGCTGCATCTTTCTTCATGTGTGTACGTTTGTGAAAGTGGGTTAATGGTGATCGTAGAATCCCTACAGTGTGGAAGCAGGCCATTCAGCCCATCGAGTCCACATCAACCCTCCCGAAGAGCATCCCACCCACACCAACCCCTTATCCTATCCCTGCATTTCCCACTCTAGACAGTATGGGCAATTTAGCACAGCTAAACAACTCACCTGCACATCTTTGGACTGCGGGAGAAAACCAAAGTACCCGGAGGAAACACACGCAGACAGGGGGAGAACGTGCAAATTCCACACAAACAGTCGCCTAAGGCTGGAATTGAACCCAGGTCCCTGCTACTACGAGTTAGCACTGCTAACCAGTTTGCCATTGCGATCCGCCGAACTGAAACGAATCTTTATCTCTGTGCTCATATGTATCTGTGTGTGTACATGTGGGAGGACATTTCTTGGATATTGTATGTGTGTGTTTATTAATGTGTATCTGCACGAATATTTGTGGGTACCCACAAATTTATTTGTATGTGTTTCTTTCTGTGCACTTGTGTTTTTGTGTGAGTTTAAATGACTGCTCCTGTATCATATGCATGTGTGTCTCTGTGCGTGTCCGTGTGTGTGATGGCTTATCTGTATGCGCATTTATGTGTGCGCATATGCATGCCCCTTTAGGTGAGAGCCTGAATATATGCGTTTTTAGTGCATTTGTGAGCATGTGTTTGCATCTGTGTTGTTTCTGCTCTTATCCCAGACTGTTTTCATTTTTATTTTTGTTGCAATTTTAATTGATTGCCGGCAATTAGGTCTGACCTTGATGGTGTAAGGAACATTTCTCGCCATCGTGGAGATATAAGCGTTTAGTGAACGACTCTTGTTGCATTCATAGAATTCATATCTCTGAGGTAAGAGACCTGAGTTCACTCCCCACAACTCCAGAGATGGATGATAGTATTTCTGAATATCTTGGACAGAAAATATCTACAAGTGTTCTGTAAGTGATACAAAATGACGCCAGGTGTTCGAATACCAGAATTGTCACCAGGTGCGTCAGGAAATTGAGTCGAAACTATGGAATATAAACTGGGTTGATGAATCACCAGTTTAGTTTTGGATTATGTGGAATCAACGTTAACAGCTTATGAACGGGACAAGCACGTCCAGCATGCTTCAAAGGAATTATTTTGAATGGAAATTTTTAACCTTTGGCCATTATGCGAGTCTCTACCAGGTCTCATTACAGAGGGCATCTAATGTGAAAACTTTCCATGTGAGTAAGCATACAGTCTGTTAATTGCTCCCCTCTCTTCTCCCTCTGTTCGACAATAACAAATTTTCTTTCGATTTCTCTTTGGTGTGGAAGTGAAGATACATTCTTTGGAATGATGCATTGGTGCAAAATCACTGGCAGACCCCAGAAACAAAGGTTAACTGCAAGTTACTGTGCACTCTATGCGATTGGTACCCGTAGCAATTCATTCTTGTTGATATGTCCCAATCCAAAATAATTTTAGAAATCTCTTAAATTTAAGTTCCCAGTTGAGATAATACCACAGTTTAAAGCTGGCATGAAGTTTCTTGGAATGGGCCATTGGGGAATCAGAAACACCAATCAAAATTCGTGGTATTCATTTTTCATAAAGCGGACATTGTTAAATTTCATCACAGTGGGATTTAAAGTAGAGAAGAAAGTACTTTGCAGAGCCCTGCAATGATTGGGCTTTAGTCTGTCTCTGAACCAGGACTGATATGAGCAGGCAGCATTGACTGCACCAGACACGAGTCCTGGACCTGCAAGCTATCGACTTTAACTGGAAGAACGGAATATTACTAAAAGTGGGAAACACAATAAATTAAACGGTTGTCTATTTAAATAACAACTGGAGGAAAGAAACATTTTATTACTTTTATTGAATTCTTAAGGGTAACCTTGAGATTTTCATTGGCATGAATTAATGGTGTCCATCAGTGCAAGCGAAATATTCACAAAACTCGGTTTACCGCTGGATTTATCAACCGTTCTGTTGATGATCTTCAATGGAATCGCTTCATGTCCCACCACACAGGAGTAAGAAGCACCGCTGGCCCACTCCTCCGCTGCAATCGATAATAGGCTGTACAAGAAGAAGGAGGTGTTGTCGCTCTCTGCCGTCACTTCGGTGTTCTTGTAGTTACCGGGATTAACCGGCTTGCCGTCGGTTGTCCACTTGACAAAGATCTCTCGGGGCCTGAAACCTCTGACTAAACAGGTGAGGGCAACAAACCTCTGCATGGAGAGTTCTTCTGTCGTTGGCAGGAGGACAGACACCGATGGCTCCAGTGGATTTTTAACTGCAGAATATTTGAAACAAATATAAATAAAATTTAAAAAATCAGGAATCAATATTGGATTTTACCGAATATTAAAATATTCCATTTTTAATTTGGGATTTATTCACTGTCATTTGTAAAGGAGCAGAGTGGCATCCATTCTGATCATTTAAAAAAAGGTTTAATTCGAACGTGGTGCCCATGTTTCCAGCCCAGAACTCGAAATTTTGTCCATTTGTCATTACTGGTGTTTCCATCACAAAACTCCTGGTGTCTTCACAATTTGTTTGACTTAATCATAACGGAATATCCTTGTCTCCATTTTTTGCTTAATCAGCGACTTCGCTATCCTGCCAGGGAGTGGATCATCAATGCTCCCAACGGTGTCAGTTCCTTACTAATCAAAGCATGCTATCGCTGTGACTGGATCTCAATTACACATGGGATACTTTGTGCTTTCATTTATTCACTCAATTTTCTCCTTGTGGATGGAGTCTCTCAGAGGAGTCGGTAGATACTGATGATTCACCACGCATTCGAAAACAACCTCACTCAGCCAGGCTTCAGTAGAAATATCTAATTTGCTGATCGCACCATCGGAATGCTCTCCGGACTGGTGACCAATCTCTGATTTCAGAGTCTTCTCGCCTTGTATCCAGGTGAAGCTGACTCCAGAATGAAGATTTGACACAACACATGTTAATGTCACCGTCGCCTCCAGTAAGACCTGTTCGACTGGTGGTGGTAGTATTTTAGCTTTGTAACCATGGCACTCGGAAACTGCAATGAAGTAGAAATTAGAATCAATGAAAAATGCCTCTTGAGGAACAAAACACCAGTGTTTAGTCTATTTCCGCACAAGGTAAAGAAACAACCTTCGAGATGGTAACTTCCAACTATTCCTGAAACAATATTTACTTTTATTCATATATTTTGATCTGTAAAAACATCCGTGCCCTGCGTAATTATTCCTAAAGAACACTGACAGGGAAACAAGTGAATCCTGTGAAGAAAAAACATCAATGCTGCCATAATTTAACCTATTCAGTAACCTTCCTTTCAGAGTTCTTCTCTCAATTAAGGCCAACAATTGATACTTGTGACAAAACTCATCTCCACTCAATATAATGAATTCATTTTTACATTCACGAGGCAGACGTGCAAATGTTGCCGCTCACACTGAGTGCCAAATCAAATCCCAATTTCAGTATAACTGTAATCAAATGTAGTGATTCTCTTATTCCTCGTGCATTTACAGAGATTTTAATATGTTACAGGGGTGGTGAACTTCCACGGAATTTCTGTTCAATGTGATTTTACGTGATGGAAAATAATTTGCATTATTAGTGTGAGATCATTCTCTAAAATATCGTATGAGATATTATTTCTTGTGTGCCGAACATCGAGTAGACCTGAAAACAAGACAATGAGTACAGCATTGGAAATAATGTAGGACACTCTTCACCTCAAGCCTTTCCCCCCATTCAGGTAGTTAATGAATGGTGTATACTTTCACTTTATTAACCAATGTGCATTTTTAAATTTCTTCACAGGTCAAAAAACAATCAAGCAAGAGAGGTTTGTATTGATGTGCAAACTCACCTGACATTTGCACGAGTAAATTTCAGACTTCCAATCCTCACTGTGTAAACATATCAATCCTGAAACCAAGCTTTAACATCCTGGCTCTCATTCCTCGTTCATTCATCCCGACTGCGACATTCCCACTAGACTTTATGTTCCTGCCATATCCACTAATTACAGAAAACAGCTAAAACAGGCTCGATTAGAGCACGTTTATCCCTGTTAATCAAATATGATACTCATTTGGTGTGTGTTTTGTTGTCATGATTGAAGTTAAAGTGCTCCATAACATGTCAAATTTTGTCGGACAGTGCTCAAGGCCAACAGATAATTCTGAGATTGGAACGAAGTATTGAAAGCATTTTGTTTTATTTTCAAATAAGTGTCGCTTCATATTCTACAATGTCATCTTCAGACCACAAATCAAAAGATATAGGAGCAGAATTAGGCTGTTCGGCCAATCAAGTCTGCTCTGCCTTTCGATTATGGCTGATATGTTTCAACACCCCATTCTCCCGCCTTCTCCTCGTACGAAGCACGAGCCAATCTATCTCTGTTTTAAATATTCTCAATGTTTTGACCGCCACAGCCCTCTGCAGCAGTGAGATCCACAGATTCATCACTCCCTGGCTGAAGAAATTTCTCTTCATTCCAGTTCTAAATAGCTCTCCCTTGACTCTGAGGCTGTGCTGTCGGCTCTTAGTCTTGCCTACTGGTGATGACATCTTCTCCGCATCCACTCTATCTCGGTCCTTCAGTATTTTCTAAGTTTCAACGAGATCTCTCCACGACGCCCACCCCCCAAACCCCTGATCATTAAGGCCATTACCAGCAATGGATTCAGGATTCCCACTCCCTCTTCAAGGATTGTCAAACAACAAACGAATCCAGCTAATTGTCAGAGATAGTAGGAACTGTAGATGCTGGAAAATCTGAGATAACAAGGTGTAGAGCTGGATGAACACAG